TGATTTGGGCAATGAATTGCAATGATGTTGAGTTTAACATAATTCTATATACTGTTTCTAAATCCTTAGTTTACTGAGTAGATGGCAAAAAGAAGAAAGGAAAATGCAGTCCTGCTAAGAGTTTATTAACAGGATTAATTTTTCCTATGAGGATTTCCAGAAAGGGAGGACCATGGAAGGCAGATTTTATAGGGCATGATTCTTAAACTCTGAATTTACACAAATGAATGAACAAATGAAACAAAATTTTTTAAAAATCTTCCTGGAGAGGAAGGCACACACACAAATTAAAACCTAACTGGTGATAGATTAGGTTTGAGTGTGAAAACCAGACAGGAAATGAAGATGCCTACATTTTCCTGGATTGGGTTCCTACTGACAGCTATTAGCAGAATGAAACCGGAGAGAAGCCTAAAAATGGGATTTAGCAGCAAAGTTAACATGGAAGATCCTGGGGGTGCCAGAAAGGCGGTATCCAGGGAGGAGTAGAGAACTGAGTGTAGGACCCAGATGGCAGATCCGCCCTCACCTTCTCTGGGAAAGTAAGGAGGGGCAGAAATGCTGACTTGGAGCTGTGTGGTTGCCGAGAAGACATGGCACAGGGGAGAGTCTTGTACTAGAACCAGGGGATCCGCCTCATGGAGTGGCCTTGGACCAGATACCCTTCCTCTCAGGGCCTCACTTCCTCTATTGTTTGCAGTCTAGATCAGACGTTTTCAAAGAGATTTCCATGGAACCGTGAGGTGTGTGGTGGAAATGCAGGTACTTTTAAACCCTGTACTGCTTCTATTTAAGTTACTTTTTAAAAAATCTGTTCATTTATCACTTGCCTCATAAAATTACATTCTGTGTGGAAAAGGTTCCATTTTTTAATTGAACCACCACAGCAGAGAGTTTGAAAACCACCGACCCAGATGCTTGTTCAGGGACTCCCCAGGTCTAACACCCAATGAGCCATTGTTCTCATCTCTGCCCTCTACTTAGAACGTGGTCAGTCTAATCAGACGTTTCACCATAACTTGGAGAGAAGAGCACTTATCCTATTCAGAAAAGCTTCTGGATTGCATCTCATTGTGGTGCACATGTTTCAAATGCTGATGAAGCCTTGAAGTACATGTCAGGTGCAAGCATTTGAATTTTTACAACGGCATAAACTAAAATTGTAGACATCTATCTGAGAAGAAGAGGTGGTACTGGAAAATGCAAAGTATGAATGAGCGAGACATACCTTAAAAAAAACAGAAAGAAATGCAATCAGCTACTGGGAGACCGTAAGATTTGAAACTGGAAGATGTGGTTTTGGTCAAGATCTCAATAGGTGTCTGCTGTGGGGAATTTTAAGTCTTCCAGTCTGTGAGTTTCTTCTTTGTGAATTAATTCTATTTTTATGTTAACTCTGTCTTCTGGATGGCTGATGTGAAGACCACATGAGACGAGAGAGGTGAATGTGCTAAGTAACTGGAAATCACTAGGCCTGTGTTATTGAAAAAATATCGGTTATGCGGATAAACAGAAATCAGATACAGAAGCGGGGAATGTGTTAAAACAGAATACCATGGTTACAGTCTTAAGAGGCAGGAGACAGCAGGGCAAAACCTGGATTTTTATCATAAATATCCATTTTAGTTAATGAAGTAGTATATCCCAGTTTAAAAAAAAAAGTGTAGGCCTAGGATGCTGGGAAACTGGCTCTCCCAACTGTTAAGTGTGACTAAAGACAATACACTTGAAGCTTTCTGATTTTGTTGTTCTACCTGCGAAATAGCAATATTACTCCTCTTCATACTTCATAAAGTTAATCATGTAACAGGTCTTCGGAGAATGCTGAAAAGTGTGCCCACACTCTAGAAAAGCAGGGTTCACAGGGCTGATTATTAATTTTGTCTCCCACAGTACATTGTAAAGACATGTCCTCATGGCTTCTATGTTCTATGCATTTACTATAACCCTTAACACCCTTGATACATGTCATTTGAAAGTCTGCTTGCTCTTTACTACCCTATGATTTTATTTGTTTCTCAAATATAGTCATGCCATTATATTGCTGAGCCATCAAAGGATTATTATGTAAAATATCTTTTGGTAGGTGAGTTTTAAGAGGTAATTGTTCCAACTGTCAGTAACTCAAGATAATAAGGAAGTTTTCCTTGACAAATACAATAAACTGCCCTAGCTTGGGTTAACAGCCAATCATTGAGAAAGTCAATTTTTAACGAGGACAGGACCCTGCCTTGTGTATATATGTGTGTATTTGGCAGACCGCTTTTTCTCGCTCTCTCTGAACTTCCTGCTCAGAGCAGTGTATCCCTACGGCCCTCCTTCATCATCACTATGAAGAGCATCACCGCTTGTGTCATCCTTGCTCTGGCAGCCACTACGTGGGCTGCCTCTCTACCTGGTGAGTTAGGAATTCTTCTCAGTGGTTCTTTGTTAACTGTGACATACCCAGTACTCAGTAGTTACAGAATGTTAACGTCAAAAGAAAATGTAGAAGGCATCTGTCTGGATTGATCAGATTAACAAAGTGGGGGTGAGTGAGACCTTCAGGAAGAGGAAGAGAGACTGAGAAGAATAAAAGGATTGTGAGCTTTCTGCTCATTTCCTGATCACGATCTCTTAGGTTTCTGACTGGCCCTTTGGAAACTACCTGTGCAAGTTTGAGGCTATAACCCCAGCCTTGGTCTGGGCATGCCCACGGGATCTCCTGGGTACCTGTAAAAGCCCTTTCCCCCATTTTTAAAATCAGGACCACATACACTCTGACTTCACCCTGAGATGGCCCTGAGTAAAGAAGTGACCTCTCTTAGGTCTGGCCTGGACAAGGGAAATGGGTTTCAGTTACTGTGAACAAGGAATTCAGCCATTTCTAACTGTGGAATTTACTCTTTTTCCAATTCCTTCTCTCCAAATGTATCTTATTCCACACTCTTCGGGTGATCAAGCAATACGGCCAAAAGTGAGTACAACCTTTTCTGTGTGGTCTTCGTAAAAATGAAATTAGAGCTTGTGGGTAAATGAGCTGTGAAAGCACCTAAACTGGGGCGCAGGGGCTGAAATCATTCCGCAGGACGTGAAGCTGCTCCTACTCTCCCTGTCCTGGTGCTGTCTCTTTTTTTCAAAGGTTGCAAAAGGAATCTCCTTGCAAAAGCGCAGTGAGGCTAAGTTAACTTTTACCTTTGGGTAGCATTTTAAATTTTTCTCAGTATTTTTCACATTCATTATTCTACTGGACTCTCATTATAGCCCTAAAAAGTTGAATATTTGAACAAGATCTGATTTGGCTTCAAAAAAAATCACTCTGGTATCAGTGTGGAAGGTGATTTCAATCTCCGATAAGCACGGAGGCTGGGCGATAAACCGGCAGATACTGCAACCATGTAGGCAACACATAGTGAGGGTCTGAATAAAGAGGATGACAGTATGAGCAGGAGATGGCTAATTCAAAATTAGGTACAAAATAGAATCCCCAGATGTATCCTATTCATCCTATTCATCAGACGGCTGTGAACTTGGGCTGAGCACTCCCTTGCTGTGACGGTATTCTCACCATCACAGATAAAGGAAATTGCAGAGGATGTGTACCCTGGCACGTGGGATTTCGGATTAAATGATCCCTCAAGGCTTTCTAGGATTTAACGTTTTGAAATTGTTTTTTCTCTTTTCCTTTCTTTGGACAGAGCATAGTTCAGTGCCCCAAATATTCTGATTATACTGTATGCACCTTGGAGTACAATCCTCATTGTGGATCTGATGGAAGAGTATACGGCAACAAATGCTTGTTCTGCAGCGCCGTTGCGTAAGTGCTTAGTTTAACATTTTGTGTGTAGGAAGAGCCTCTCCCCCAGAACCGGAAGCCATCTTAGCTACCCAGTAAGCTAGACGCTGCCATAAAGCGTAAGAGGGAGATGGCTGACTGATAATCATGACATTTTACAAAAAGAGGTAAAAGAAAGAGAGAAAAGGAGAGAAAAAGGAAATGCGTAACAAGGAGAAACTGAAGCTAGGGAAAGAGAGGCTTGATCAACATCATAATATGATTAAGTGGCAGCAAAAAGAGAAATTTACAGACTTGTTGGCTCCTGGCACTGGCTTTTACCAGTTGACTGAATTCCTTTTTCCCACAGTGCTGAAGCTCAGTGATTAACTGCTCACCTTTCACGGTGTATACGCATTTGGCTGGCTGGAACTAAGAATATGCAACTTTTAATTTAAGGTCTCTAAAGCTTTCCTTTTAAAAACATGATTTCTCTTGCAGGAGGAGCCGCGGCACACTTTTTTTCGTAAAATATGGACCATGCAGGGTCTCCCCGGTGCCCAAGGGCCCTACGTATATTTTGGAAGAGTCCACATAGAGAACTGGTTTCCCTAGGACGGTTGTGGGGACAAATCCAGAGACCTGATTCTTCAATAAAAGATTCTCAGCAGAAAGTTGTCAGGGTTGTCTTTGTGGATACAATTCTTCTTTTCAAGAAATCATCTATGCTCATTTTCCTAAATGTATAAATCACACAGAAATACTTCCTCTATTTCTACTCACTTTGGGAGCTGGAGAGATTATACACACCCTGGTGAGAGAAGAGTCTGCTCATAGCCCCCATTTAAAAAAGACTCATTTTAAAAAAAATAAACATGGATCAAAGGGCGGCTCTAACCATTAGTATTACGTTACCTTTAGCTACACTAATGAAAAGCGGAAAATCCAGAGTTGGAAAAAGACACAGTGAGAATCCCTAACACTACAAACGAATTGGAACAGGCCAGGAATAACATAATGCTTTAGGCTAATCACCCCTTAAAGAGAACTCAGTCACATGCAGGCATCTGCAAAGGAAGGCATCTTGGTTTTCATTTTGGGGGAGAGTTTAAAAAAAAGCAGACTCTAATTAAATGTTGAAATCACTAATAAGGCCTGAGGCAAAGTCAAGTTAGTTGGGAACAAATGAGGGTATATGTAGGACTGTCACGAGATAGAGATGTGACAACTTTCTGGGACTCCAGAGAGTACTGAGGTCCTAAATAAAATGTGCAAAGATATTTACCTTGGAAAATAATTTTCTAATAGTGAGTTGGCAACTAGGGGCATAGTGATGCCCTACTAGTTCACGTGTTCAAAGCGCGATGGTTTTCATTTTTCAGCAAAGACTGGTTAAATGCTTGCCAGTTGTGCTGGAGAGATTTGTGTGTTTTTCCCTAACAGCACATATAGAAAGATCACTAGAGGTCAAGCAATGTGTTGTGTGGGGAGAGGCGCTACAAATGGGCAAAAAGAGTCCCAGCCATCAAGGCATTTGTAGACCAGTCAAACAGACAGACTGAAAGAACTGATTACTAAACAATGTAAAAAGATTACACTCCAGAATTATTAAAAGCTCAGTAAGAATTGAAAGGAAGACTTGAGGTGTTAGTTACATGATGAGCTAGTGTATTAGTCTCCTCAGGCTACCATAACAAAATACAGACCTTCCTCCACTTAGGATGGGGTTATATTTTGATACACTCATCATAAATTAAAAATATCATACACTAAAATTGCACCTAACCTACTGAACATCACAGCTCAGCCTCATCTACCTTAAATGTACTCAGAACGCTTTCATTAGCCTACGGTGGACAAAATCATCTAACACAAAGCCTGTTTTATAATAAAGTGTTGCACATATCATGCAATTTATTGAATACTGTAAAAGCAACCAACGGAATGGTTGTATGGGTACAGAATGGTGTCAGCATATCGGCTGCTTACCCTCACGACTGAGTGGCTGACCGGGAGCTGTGGCTCACTGCCCAGCAACACAAGACTGTCGGATGCATATCGCTAGCCCAGGAAAAGATCAAAATTCAAAATTCAGTTTCTACAAAATGTCTATCACTATACAGCTGAAAATCTGTTAGTTGAATCCATCATAAGTAGAGAACTGTCTGTACCACAGACCAGGTGTCTTAAACAATAGTTTATGTTCTCACAGTTCTGCAGGCTGGGATGTCCAAGATCAAGGCGCCAGAAGGTTTGGTGCCTGGTAAGAGTCCACTACCAGGTTCACAGAGTGTCTTCTTGCTGTGACCTCCTATGAATGAAGGGGCAAGAGGTTGCTCTCTGGAATCTGTTTTATAAGGGCACGAACTCCAATCCTGAGGGCTGTGCCTTCTTGACCTACTCAGCTCCTAAAAATCTCACCTCCTAATACCATCACATCGGGGATTAGGTTTCAACATATGAATTTGTGGGGGATACAAATATTCAGACAGTAACTCATAGGAGACATTTAGGATGATGACCATCCCAGCTCATGACTGGAAGGATGGCTGCTGAACCTATATTAAATGATTTGCTTAACTACAAACAAAAACAACAGTCTATATGTTGTAGAGTATATTATATATAATGTTTAAAAAATACATGTAATTATGCAATAAGTACATAATTTTGCCTTTTGAACCTACAAATTGAAAAGGTGAGTTTATTTACATAAACTCCGTTTTTGTCTAACCAAATTTCCCCAGGAGAATATGCAAGTCTGGGTAATGCTGTCCTGTGGCTGCCACAAAACCCCTGAGAAGGGCAAGACTTCACCCATACAGCCCAGGGTGGGACTGATCATTTGTGTGAAGGTGTTTCTGTGATGGAGAAACAGCTTTTGGACCCTTAAGAAGGGCAGCTCAGTGTGTGCTGGAGAAGTAACTGGGTACAGAACAGGCCGACTGTGAAAGCTGTGTGGTTTGGGCAGTGGAGTTGAGACTTTCCTTTCTGCTAGAGAACATGGAGCCTTAGGTTAAATCCTGTGAAGGATTCTGACATCTCTGAAAGGTGAAAAGAATCTGCTTTGGACTAAAGTGAGGAAATGGTTTTGAAAACATTAGTTTGAGGTGACACTGGAACATACAAATTAAATTATTTCATAGCTAGGAATAGGCACCTGACATCCAGGGACAAAGCCCCAAGTTGCAGCTTTTGGAATTAAACCATGGGCACGGTAGATGGTGGGGAAGTCACAGACTAAGGGTTCTTTGAGAAATATGTGATCTCTTAGTCTTACCCACTCTGCTCTCCCAGTATTAGTTCAACTGGAATTTGGGGGCGTTTGAGAAAGCTGAAAAAGTTTTAGCCTGTCGTCTTTCCTGTGTTTTACTTTTTTCTCTGTGTGCTTTAGGATTAAATACCTTTGCATCTATTAAACAGAGCCTCATGGTGATAATACACACTTCCTTTTATCTTAGGATATTGTGCTTCACTTTTACCTAGTTGATATATTGGATTTGTATAATTAATTATTTGATTTCTCCATATTGATATGGATGAGAAACACAGGGGCTAAGATAATTATCAAAATGTCACAAGATTCAGAAAACTCAAATATTAAAAATTGCTTCCTCAGGTCTTCCTGCCCTGAGTAATTACTTGTTGACTGGTATTCTCCTAACATCATCTCCATTAGGGTAAGGAAAATGCCAGTCTTCTTCACTGCTGTATTTCCAGTGCCTTAGACAAATCCTGACAAACCAGACTCCCAGATAGTAGAAGGCCTACGGGAACTCACTTCACCAGCGACGCCTTACTTCACCAGTGACAAGGCAAAGTTGAAAAAAATGTAAATTATTTATTATCAGGTGGGAAGCAATTTCACTCTCATCATTGTCTTTGAATATTCACACAATGCAATGACTCTGTGACTCTGAGCCTATGAAGCCCTTATCAGTGCTGAGGCAAAGAAAGGGCCAAAATAAATAGCTTTTCACTAGTGGCTAACCTGGATCAAGCAGTTTTCCAAGCTTAAACCTTAAACCTCCTAAGGAAGGTTTGATTACTCCACTGTGCAAACAGGAAAATTCTGTACACAGAGAATAAATTACCTTTCAAGTTGACAAAATATTATAATTAGGTCTTCTGCTTTTATGTCCAAAATCCTTTATAAAAAAACGAGTGCCTCTACCTCTCTGAACTGGGGGACGAATGATTTACTCAAGAAGATGACAGGGTATTTTCAAACTGTTCCATGTTGTATCCCAAGTACAGAGCCATATGGATAAAAACCATTCTTTCATATTCTATGTGACCTAAGTCCTTTCTGGAAGTTTCTAGTAGAATTGTTTTTAGGCATTTTTTGAAATGAAATAATGAGATAAATTAACTGAGGTAAATAAAAATGTGTTCAGTCCAGCATTGTTAATTATAATGAAAATCCAAATCAACCTAAGTGAGCAATTATGGAAAAAATATTAATATAATAAAAATCCATATATGTGACAAAATATGACCTAGGCATCTAAATTCATGTTCTATTACTATTTAAAGATCAAGAAAATTTCACAGTACATTTCTAAGTGAAAAATGCAGAATACAACATATACTACAAAAACTTGATTGAATATGACAATAAGAACATGTATGTGTTCATCTGTGTGCATATATATACACACATATTTTTAAAAACTGGAACAATATAATTCATATGTTCAACAGTTATCACTGGGTTGTGATTTCATGTCTTTTTTTCCATAATATTTCTGAAGTGGGAGGAAAGGGGGCAGGGCACAACCACTGAAGGAATAACAGCAAACTGGTTAGAACCAAGATGGCAGAAGATTCGACTTCTAGTAGTCCTCGAGCCTCATGGCACACCTGCAGGCAACATGGCAGTTTCTAGGCTGACCATAAAAAGTCGAAAAGTGGGCAGGGGCCCGATTCATGGAAATCCTTACCTCTTCCCCCAAAGTAGTTGGAATGATCCTCCTACCTATTAGCATATGAAATTACCGAGCCCATAAAACCTAACGATTCCATACCCTGTGGTCGCTCTCTCTCTTGCCTTCTGAGATGGTCTGCACTCTGTCTATGGAGTGTGTATCTACTTTTACTTTAAACTAAACACCCCACACTCCTCAACTTCTCTCCCTCTCACCTTTCTGAGATGGCCCACCTCCTGTCTATGGAGTGTGTATCTCCTAAGCCATTCTCCTTTCTGAGTGAGCTAGACCCCCACTCTCTGAAATGTGCATCTCTCTACTTGGTTTCACTTCCCCATGCGTTGCTCTTGAATTCTTTCCTGCACGAAGTGAGAACCTATTCTCCCACAACATTTCTGCTTTTCGAATTTTCTAGAGTAAACATGCATTTCCTTGATAGAAGAAGAATTGTCTTTTACAGAACATAAGATAGAGGCAGGAAGTTCAGCTATCAGGAGGAAACCCAGCTATGATAACATATTTTCCCTGTTACAAAGCTGCAAAGACAAGGCTGAGCCCACTGTAAATGGCATCCCCGGACCTCATCTGTCATTGCAGCCTCCTCCCTTCCTCAGCTGTTTCCACATTGTGCAATGTGGCCGAAGGCACTAATCATTGCTCTTTCCTACTGTGGTATGTTTCTTCTGCTGCTGCCTCTTTGGATTGGCGTCCGCAGCTGCCCTGGCAGAGACCCGTTCCCACCCCCCAAGTCTTGCACGCATCTCTATGCCCTCTTCCCCAGCACCTCCTGCTGAGTCTGACTCTGACTCATCCTAAACGTTCGGCACATTCGGCCTCCCAGGGCCTGCTCAGCCCAGCACACAATGCATCAGTGCCTTCTCTCTCCTACGAAGATGCTCGATCCCCTCTTGAGGCCCTTCCACCTGCTCCTTAAAGGAGAGGCACCAGCCACAAAGGAGGACATTACATCTCTCCTCCTTTCCGAGGTGGGTCAATGGGGGTACATGTTGTAGGGAGAGTGGGCATTTGGCACTACGCTCTAGTGCAGCTGGATCTTCCATGAGTGACGCTCCATCCCTGAAGGAATTCAGAGATGCCAGGAAGAGATGGGGGGGTGTTTAGCAAAAACATGGAGTCCAGGACTGTCTCAGGAGCAATCAGAGTAGACGGCTCTGGACATTGTGCCAAAAGCCCCCAGCCCCTCTAGAGAGCGGAGTACTCTGGAGACATTTCAGTGTCTCCGATTAACACCTATCACCGTGACATGTTGGCAAAGGTTATGTAAATTACCTACCAACATACGCTACAGAGCAGAGGGAAGTGCTATCGGACGTAGGGAGGACCAGGTCACTTCTGCAGGGTTAGGAAGATACGGAGGGTTCGATGTAGTCCTTGGTCAGGCCCTGGAACTGCCATGTACCATTCTTTAGGGTCAGAAAGGCTGCTACAAGGATTCACTGACTGACATTGTCCTTTCTGCATCTGGATGAAAGAGCTTTGGAACTCCTGTGAGATGGCATGGGTTTTTTTTTTCTCTCCCTTGCATTCTCTCTGAATGCTCCAAGAGAGTCTAGCTTTCCAAGTCAGAAGATTCTCAGCACAGCCAAGTATGCCTGGAGTAACAGAAACCTTTGTCTTAATCTCAAAAGGCAATCTCTGCTTCATGACCAAATGCAGCCCTGCTTCCTCTATTGAGAAGCTCTGGTCTAGAAGCCCCCAGCAGCCTCATCATTTCCCTTGTAACCCCTCAAACAAAAAATTTTTGAGAAAAAAATAAAATAACTCCATATTAAAATAATACAATTATTCCCAAAGAGCAATCTCTGATTTTCTTCTATCTTCTAAGTAGTCACAGATCTGTCATTGAGATCTACACTTTTATTTACGACTAGCCAAGGTTTAACTTTTCCTGAGCATTTGTTCTTAGGGAAGGAGGATACAAGGGGCAGGCTAGAGATGGGTATTCACTTCAAAAGGGGTCTAATCTCCTGATTACCTCCTCTTTGGTGACTGGATCAGAAGGCAACAGCCTGAAGCAATAGCTCAGAGCATCATTCTAAGGACATGCAAGGAGGAAAAATGGCCAAATCCTTCCCAGCACTCTGCTCACTTTTTTTCTTTATCCTGACACATTCGGCGTTATCATCTGGTGAGTAATGTGGCTGTTGGTAGGCATGGAAGGTTGATCAGTGGGCTCTGACATTATAATCTGAAAGAGAATGCTTTGAAATTCTTATCTATGTATTTTTTTAATTTATTTAAGTGTATCACTTTATGTATTTATCTGCATTTATATAGAGAGACAATGCAGTGTGATCAAAAAACAGGGGGAGGGTTCTGGGCCAATGGGCAGGGGCCTTAGTTTTCCATCTGTCAATGCAGATAATAAGACCTGACTCATGGGGACGAGTGGGCTTTGGTGATTTAGTGAGTAACTTGTGAAAGTGACTGGCAATATGCCTCTACTCTAGTGCACCTCAAAAATTCAGAACTTAAAAAAATGCTTTGCCATATATCTGAGTGGGTTACTATCTTTTGCATCCTTTTTTAAGAGAAGTCATGTAGGGAGTTATAAAGAGACCAAGCTTCAAGAACTGAAGAACTTGTTTTTTTTCCATATCTGCCATGAATTCTTGGGCATTTCATAAAATATGGGGATTGGGTTAAAAGATCTCTTGAAAGTTCCAGCATTTCTTAATTTCTTTCATACATTGGCTGCTGGTTCTGAATCCTCTCAAGCCCAGGCTAATTACTGTTAGTCAAAAAATTTTTGGTACACAGGACAGGCAACATTTATGAAAACAATGATGCGTCTAGATAGTTCTCTGCTGATTATCTACCAGGAATAAAAGAGTTATTCCACATTTGGAAAAAATGAATGAATGAATATATATATATAAATGAAACCATGTTTTCAATTATTACAAGCTTTCTTGTTAGCATATTGGAACTCTTTTCTTTTGCCAACAGATTAAGCTATGATTTCCCAGATAATAGATTCTGTAACTATTTTCATTTGTTATGGTTTCAGGCCCTCAACACTGGTGGCCACCAAATGGAGTTATTAAGGTAATCTTTCTCTAGATTTCCCAGAAATGAGATTCCAACCTCAGCTGTCTTTGGAATTGCTATTTTAGAATCCTACTGGGAGAAGGTCATATGTGATATTCATCAAGGTGCACTCACAAGAATGTGGCAGGCACCCTGCAGGTATAGAAGCCCAGAGTAGCGTAATCCTAACTGGGACCCAGGCTGAGATTTGGTCATTGGTAAACCAGGGAACCCTCAGTAGTGCCTAGAAAATGTTTATGGACACTGACAGTTGCCAGGGGCAGGGCAGGTTTTTAAAGGCCCACAGACATGGGTATAACACGGTTCCTGCTCTCAAGGGGCTGACAGTTTGGTGCAAAGAATGCTCCTAACTGCCCTGAGACATGCAGAGAATGCCTACATGAGTTGTTAATGGCAGACACATCCTATGAGAGACAGTTTGAGGATGTCAAGGAACAGGGTATCTCTGAAGAGAGCCTCAAATTCTATTCATAACTTGTATGAGGGCAAAGTGAAAAAGACACTTTTTTCCTTTTCACCTACCCCTCTGATCACGGAATATATTGTGAGGTCAATTATATGTTTGATAAATGAGGGAAAAGGTGAATGAAAGACTGTTTTGGTTTTTTGATGTGGATCTGCATCACTGTACTTCACTTTAGGAGTATTTGCATTTTAAGATTTTGTCTCATTAGTAAATTTTATTTCTTAAAAAAATACATTCATGAGTTGACTGGTGAGAAAGATGTTTTGAGGGCCTTGAAGGCACCCACAGATCAGAGCGTAGAATCTGGTCAGAGGCTCCAGCTCCAGCAAAAGAACCTGTAGAATCTGTCTGGGGTTTATACTCTGGGGTTTTCCTCTTCAGTCTCATTCTTAGTTATTTTTCCAAGAAATACTTATCGCCCATACTGTGCCCTAGGATACAATGTTGAGGAAAACATAGTCCCTTCTCTCATGAAGCTTAATAGCCAGAATAAAGGAAGAGAGCGCCTTATTTATGGTAAACTCTATAAAGAAAAGCAGGCTGGTACAGCAGAGAGTATCAATTGAAAGTAGAGACACTACTGTCAGCAGTGTGATCAGTGAAGGCTTCTTGGGCATGGGAACATCTAAGTGAGACGTGAAGGGTGAAAAGGAGCCATCCGGGTGGCGAACAGGGAGGAACATTCACCTACTTGCGTCACTGACTGAAGGCCTGTGTGATTGGAACACCGAGATGGGGGGAGAGAGGGTGCAGCTGACGTTACAGCGACACAGCACATGAATGTGTATCCTAGCCACCTGGTGAATATACATCTCACTCTAAAGAGGGAAAAAAAAGCTGTATTTACAGACGATACTACCTAATATTATTATTACTTGATTACTCAACATTCATCTACTTTGAACTATTTTATATCTTATTCATTTTGCAGATACTCACAGGGCAATGACTAAGTGCCGATACATGTGCTGGCTGGTCTGATCAGACACAGACTTTATCCGCATGGACTTATAATCCTTCAGGGTATAGAATTAGTCAAATAATTATACAAATGCTTTATGACCTACTGATTAGAAGTATAAGAAGAATGGAAAGTTGGGGTTGTATTTTGAGAAGTACCTCTGGGAAAGTAGGTTATAATCTGAAGGCAGTATTGAGTCTAAGTTCAGGAAAAAGAGAAAACATTTGATGGGAGTAGTCATGACAAACCAGAAGACCCTGAGATGGAGGAGGCATGGAGCATCTGAAGGGGGAAAAAAACTATAAAATGCAAAGAGCAAGGTGGTAAAGGCAAGGTTGTAAAAATTGGTAGGGTACAGACCACATAGGGCCTTTTGCCCAAACTAAGAGCAATTTTTTTTATGTGCAGTAAAATGCATTTGAAGGAGCTGAATTACATGAATAAAATGATTCAGCTGATGATTATAGAAAACAGCGGCCATAAAGGAACAGAGGAAGGAGGGATTTGCTGGGTGACAGATGGACAGGAGGCAAATAAATGGTGGTGTTGTCGGATAAGGGAAGAAAGAAGAGTTTCTCAGCTCAGATATGATCTCTCTTTCTCTAAATACTCAGCCCAAACTCTTTCCCACCTTCTGTCAGAGGTACTTTATCCACCTTATGGTACTACTCATAGAGCCCCTGAGACGGCCGTCCTCAAGCTCAGTCATCCCAGAGTCACTGCTTCCGAGCCATCCCTGGTCCCAGCACAGCAAGCAGACGTGGGTTCCAGCCCCTGCTGAGACAGCCCCTCTCCTTTGTTTTCAGTTTTCTCTACAAAATCAGGGTGTCATTCTAAATGCTCTTACATTTCACAACTTCAAGGTAAGAGCCTGGAGGCTCTCTGAGTAGATAAGATGTGACAAATATTTTAAGTTAAGGCACACAGATTTCAGTGAAGCTTTTCCAATTCTGGGGTTTCAGTTTCCTTAGCTGAGTAGCCACAGAAAATCTCTAAGACTAACCCCAAGTCTAACAGTCTGGGAATGAAGGAAATTGAGAGAGAAAGAAGCCACATTCCCCGAATCCATCCTGTTTACGCACTCTTCCTTTTCCCACGACAGCACAGCAGGCCTCCTTTCTCTACTCCCGTCAGGAGGTCCTGACACCGAGGGCATCACGCTGTGAGCAGATGGGACTCACGTAGGCTCTGGTTCCCTTGCTTTGTGGAGGGGGAGCTAGAGAGCTTTTGTCAGACTGGGATATGATCCCACATTTAGATTTTCCTAATACAGTCCGGAGGCATCTGTGAGTGTGATTCTAATCGGATCACTCTTTGCAACTCAATTTCAGGTGAAATGTCCATATAAGAAAGTAGACTTGAGTTGGTTCAGAGGAACAGCGAACCCCTGCCCTGGCGTGTATCAACCCATCTGTGGCACCAATTTTGTAACCTATGAAAACCCTTGCATCCTGTGTGTTGAGAGCTTGTGAGTACTGTTGGGGGAAAAGAAGAGAAATACGAAAAAGCTTAGTCCATGGCAATTACCATCTATCTTTTCTACCAAGTATATCAGCCTTGAAGCCAGGAATTGGCTCCAGCTCACTCAGATAACAATCAGCCCGCACTCAGGAGAACACGTAATAACACAAAGGCCACTGGAGGAGAAAGCAGGCTTGCTGTACTCAGTGCTCTCTGTCGGGCCCTTTCTTCTCTCTCAGTCCTCACATTCCCGTGTGCCAACTGAGGATGTTTTACCTGAGGCTTCAAATACCCCTTGAGTCCTTGAAATTCTTTGATTTTAAGACAAACTGAAGTTTTGCCTTCTCTCAGGCATCTTTAACCTCTTATGTGTCTGAAACTCTGAGCTAGGATGAGGTGACTACAAAGTGTGGGTCCTTTAGCTAAGAGTCAGTGTTTAGTTTGGGGATTGAGGTGACATGATTATCAGTGATTAGACCCTCAGCTTTCACAAAACTGTGGCTGCAGGGTTGACCCGAGATCCCTGCAGTTCCCAAGGAGAAAAATCTCTCCCTATGGCATCAGACAGGAGCCCCTCTACCCGACGAGCATTTTGTAATTTTTTACAAAGAGCAATGACAGGAATGTGTAAACCCCAAGCTGTCCCCGCTAGTGAGGAATTCAGCCAAAGTGTCAGAGTGCTGACATAACATGATGAAGATTGATAAGCCTCACCTATCACAAGCTCAGGTCTCATTAAATAACTTATTTTCAAAGAGACTGTAGTAGGGGTCATAGGATCCTCAGTGGCATCTTAGAATCACAGAAGGAGGACAGGGTAGAAAAGCTAGTACCCTGGCTTATATCTGCAGTCAGTTCCCCTCGTGCTCTTACTTCCTCAAATATAAAGTAAGGGTGGTAAGATAATTTTAAAAGTATTTCTGGAGCTCTGACATTCTATTAATGAAGTATTTACTCCAATTCTTCCTTTAGGAAATCTCAGGGGAAAATTAGGTTTCTACGTGATGGAAAATGTTAGCTGAGTGGATTCAGATGTAAAAGAAGAGCCTTCGCTTCTTTCCATCAAGAAAATCCTTCTCTGCAACTCACCCCTCCTTGCATTGTTCTCAGTGACAGAGAGCTGCCCTGCTGAGCTTGTATCAGACAGCCCAAGAGTCCTTCTTTACCTCTCCCCTCACTGATTCACTGCCTTCCATATTCTCCCTAATAAATAAACTTTTCTGCAAGTCTCACTTAACGTGGGTCTCAAATCTGTGTCTCAAGTCTTGGAAGCAGAACAAAATGAACATTTGAACGAAAGCTCAAAGACAAACATGGGGCTTAATCAGGTCACTGGGACAGTAAACTGTGGAGCAATCTATATAAAGGCTCCAGGTTGTCTTCCAAGGAACACAACAGAAATTTCTGCCTTATTCCTCTGGAATTTTTTTTAAAACATCAATTAATAGGAATTATGGAGCTTTGTGCTCTTCCTGGCCATTCCTATTGCTCACTTTCCACAATTCCTCATTAAACAACCTCACTTTTATACTCAGTCTTGAAGCAGAGGCATTTATGCATGTCTGGCTTAGATCAGCAGGGCCCCATATTTTCACCAGCCCCACTTTTCTCTATAGAAGGAGGTCTATATCAGTGGTATCCATGAATGTCCCATTGGTCACTAGTCTTTTTCTTAAGTTCTTTTGACACATTTTAACCTCTGAAACATATAGGGACATGTTTTTCTTTGGGTTATATTCTCTCTCTTTCATATATATATATACACACACACATTATATGAAATATATATAAATATATATTCACACACTCATTTTATACGGAAAGAAGACTAATATACACTAACATGCTCTCTCTCCCTCAGAAGTTTGCTCCCAATTGGCAAAGAGTATCTCTTTTGCCTCTGAATAGACTGTAAGACTATGGTCAGATTGTTTATACGTTCTGTTGGCTCTTTGAGATTAACTACCATGATCATTAGAGAGAAGACACGTGGCTCCAATAGAAAGGAAACAGTCACCTTTGGTCTGTCATTGTTAGAATATGAAAAGCAAATAGCTCTGGGGACAATGAGATATTCTCTACTCTACAGCAGGCCTGGTTCCATCACTCTGAGTGATGGGCCACACAGGAGCAGGCAAACCTCCGAGGAAGTTTGTTTTCCAACACCACTGCTTTGACTTCATGTTCACAAATCTTTTTTTCTGCAGTAATCACTGCCATTAATACCATTCAGTAGATTTTTCATATCAAACATTTTAATTTTCATCTCTACAAGTTTGATTTATATCGTCCATATTTCTAACTTTTTAAACATCTAGAATATAGTTACGATAACTAACTTTATGACTTTATCTGCTAATTAAAATATCTGTGTCCATTTTAGGTTGGATGCTTCTCTTCTCATTATAGATTATATTTTTATGAATTTTACCTTGTTTGGTTCTAAATATTTTTGTATTTCTAGAATTACTCTTCAGCTTTCTTCTGAGTTATAGCACAATTACTTGGAAACAATCGGATCCTCTGGAACTTTGCTTGTAAGAGTCAGGTGGGATCAGTACAGTATTCACTAAGTGGGCTAATTATCCTCATTCCCTGAAGCAAGAGTCTTTTGAATACTCTACTCAGCGCACCAGGGGTGATAACGTTTTCTAGTCTGGCTAATAGGAACAAGCACCATGACCAGCTCTACATAAGAGCTGGGCTCTGTTGTCTCTAATCCTCTCTGAGGTTCTTTCTTACCTTGGGCAGTTTCCTCACACACAAGCACTAATCAGTAATCTGCTGAGCTCTCCAATGCTCTGCAATGCTGTGGTCCTGCAAACTGTAGTCACCTTGGTCCCTTTCCCCTCAGCTCTAAGTCAATTCAGGGCATCCACTTGCTCCATCTGGATTCCTCTTTCCTATTTCTAGAATCTCTTCCAAGGCAGAAACCAAAGCCAATCACAGAGCTCACCATATTTGTTTCTCATCTCTCCGGAATCAGCACCCTTCATTGCCTGATGTCATGTCATTCTTTACTTTGTCTGATTTTTCGTCTTTTCAGCTAGGAAGTATATCTAGTTTCTCTTACTCCGTATTATCTGAAAGTAGAAGTCAGCTTTATCTTTATCATGTCATCGTGCCCATGCTTATCTCTGATACCTTCTGAAGTCTAGACTAGAGTACAATGCCATTATCTTACTTTTTCTAAGAATTGCAAAGGATAAGATTGTGCTCTGTAACAATTTTTTTCTAGGGGGGAATAACACATTTACTTAAATTTGCTATACACAATAGTGAAAAGAACTTTCATAATAATGTTTTTTTCCTGTCATTTGATAGTAGACATTTTCGAAAAAGGAAGGGAGGTCATGTGCAAGACTTCCTTCTTCAGTGCAACCCCTAAAAGCTGCTCATTTGCACACATATCCTCCCACTGCCAAGAAAGGAGCTGCCCCCTTAGCATTCCTGGTTCTGCCATCCCCTGCCTCTGCTTTCTCTCTCTTGCTCTCCCTCTCTGGTAGATATTTTGAATTTTGAAATCCATGTATGTATTTCCCTCTGTTTTTTACCCTCTAATTATTGCTCAGTCCCAGGGCTTTGTCACAGCCACCTTCTCTCTACCCATCCCACTTCCTCTGCTTGATCATCATACTCATAACTGTAACTACTCTATTACCCCTCTACCTACAACTCACAAATTCACATCATGGGACTGTATCCATCTTTTTAGTATCAGATACCAAACATATTAATTTAATTGGCTCACGGAATTTTAAAAATCAGTCTGTCCAATATGAGTTCTGTTTTATGGGGGAGGGTATAGCACAAGCAGAAGAGCACATGCTTACCATGCACAAGGTCCTGGGTTCACTCCCCAGAGTCTTCTCTAAAAATAAATAAATCTAATTACCTCTCCCTACCAAAAAAAAATAATAATGAGTTCTATTTTCTTTCTTTCTGAATGGGCTCCTCCATGTGTTTTGAGTTAATGAAAGTTAGTCACTACTCTTGAGCCCTTTCTCACTCAAACTCAATTTCAATGTATCATTTCTATATATTTCTTATTTCAAGTATAAATTAAACCCATAAGCATGTGCTTAATCCAAGTCTTCATCGCGTTTCAGCGGGTTATTTTTATAGTCTTATTAACTATTACTTCAGCCTCCATTCTCTCCTCCCAGCCATCATTCTGCCTCCATTCTGTAACGATTTAAATATGAGCTGTTTTAAAAAGAACTCTCTTGTGTGTGTTATGATAACAAACATTTTAGTGTGTCATCTGCTACAGGCACTCTCAAGCCCAACTTCACCCGTAATAGCTCTTGAAGGACTTTTAACAAACCCTATTTCCCCACAAGGTGGCAGTAAAGTGCTGCCGTTTAAACCAGTAACTGACTAGCTCTATGGCCAACTCACTGCATACCGATGATGCGATTTGGGGCAAGCTGCTAATGCTCTGTGAGCTACATATTTCTCAACACTTAGAGTGGTGATAATAATAGCATATACTTGATTTTGAGGAGAGGTAAAGCTCCAAAAAGTTTAAATAGGGATGCCCAGATGAGTAACAAAGGGGGCAAAATCCTAGGTAGAAGCAAGAGGGCTGTCCTTCTTTGCCTGCTTACAAATGCCCATGTCTGAACCCAAGTAAGGGGGAGAGCTTGAGATGAAGAGAGCTGGCAGCAATTTCTGATGTTATTTTCTATTTTCCTTCTTCCCAGGAAGGTGAGATCTCCCAACCCAGTCCATGCTGAGCTCTTATTTAGGTTTCACATTGGACGAGAGACTTGAGAAATGTTTCTTTCTAATGAACTAAACGTTACTCTTATAATTCTATGAAGTCCTTTCTTTTTCTCTTGATTAGATCCTTTATACCCAAAGAAAGTTAATCAACTCCAAGACCCAAACTGTTAACTATACATTTTCCAAACAAAAATTAGGAATTACTTGGAGTGTGGGTCTGTGTAGGCAGCCAGCATTAGCAGCAGGCTCACTGTTATCTAAACTATCTTGCAAAAAATAAAACAACCTACGCTGTAGATAATTTTCTTCAATTTAAATTTAAAATTTTTAATATTATTTTCCTCTAGAATAGTAATATATACTCTTCAAGAAGAACTTAAAAACCACAGACAAGCAAATTATAATTAAAAGAATAATATTAGGCAAACTATTACAACTAGGACTTACTGTAGTTAATCTTAGATGAACATCTTTCCTGAACTCTTCCTCTTTCTCTGTCTCCTAGTGACTAAGTGTATAGATCGAGTGCAATGGAAATAATATCATAAAAACAGGATCACACTATACGTGCTACTTTTGAAATGACACTTTGCTGAAAACAAGGTCAATATGCAGAAGAAGAAATTATATTCTAGATGTGTGGATAATAGAAAATAAAACATTAAAAAGGTATTTCCCATAATATCAAAAATAGCAAATGTATAAGGAAAAACAACTCTAAAAAAGGTGTGTATGATCTCTATCCTGAATATTATAAGACATTAATCAAAGATTTTTTTAAAAAAAAACTCTAAATAAAATGGAAGTACATACTCATTCATCAAACAATTCAATACTGTTTGATGAGGCACATTCACCTCTGTTTTATAGATTCAATATAATATTACTCAAAACAGGTAATCTTTTTTTGAGAGAATAACAATGTGATTTTCAAATCTGCATGAAATGTAATAGGAATAAAGAGTAGACAACATAATCCTGAGGAAAAATGAAGATGGAGGGCTTACACTACCAGGTAACAAGACTTACTGTCAAGGAATAACAATTTTAAAAAATATACTGATGCAAAGATAGACCAAGAGACCACTGAGATGAAATTTAGAGTCCAGAAACAGACCCACACGTATACAATCTATGTGATTAATGACAAAAGACACCGCAAAATCATGAAAGAGAATATCCTTCCATGTACACATGGGATATGCACATGGGAGAATATGAATATTGACTCATCTTTAATTTAAATTGATATTAAAAATAATTCAAAAATCTTTTGAAAGGAAATATATCTTCATTAACTTAGTGTATGAAAATATTGCTCAAATTGGCAAAAAATTCCACCAAGCCTAAGTCAAACTATGGTGAACCGTGAAATATTAAAATTAAGAACATCAGTTCATCAAAATACACCATTAGTAGAGTAAAAAGTAAGCCACCAATTAGGAGAAAATGTTTCCAACACATATCCAACAAGTGGCTCATACCAGAAATAGGTGCTGTGAAGTTTGA